GTAGTTTACTTCTTGCTTTTTTTTTTTTTTTTTGATACAGCGTCTTACTATGTAGCCTAGTCTGGCCTTGAACTCACAATCCTCTTGCCTCCACTTCTTGAATGTTGGGATTATAAGTATGTACCACCACACCTGGCACGTCTTGGTGTCTTAGTCCCATTCTGCTTTCACTCTTCAGATGTTCTAGATTTATCAAAGGCTTACAGGACAAGCCAACTTTAGACAGCTAGTCAGCTGACTTCTTGCTGCCATCCCCAAACAACCAGAAAGCTTCGGGGGTAAGCTTATAGATTGACAATGCACTGAACTGCATTTGAAACTAAAGACGTGTTTGGTATTATTGACTTTTTGTGGTAGTAAAAAGCAAAACATCTCATTGTGCCAAGATACCTTAGCGAAGGCAGTGAAAGTTGAGATTGATAAACATCCATCTCCATGGCGGTAGGGTACACTTCATGCTAATTGTCTTGAGGAGACAGAACAATCTGTGTAAGCAAACACATTCAACTTAACAAGCTCTTAAAAGCAGTTTTTAAAACTTATTTTTAAAAAATCATGCTCACCATTTTCTTTGTGTACATAAAACTGCTTTGGAAGATTTTTTTTCCTCTGATGCTTAAGTAAAAATAGAATAATCAGTGTTCTTTTTATAGAGACCAAGTTCTCTTTTTCTCTTTTGCAATATTTTTTTTCTTCCTCAGGAATCTTATAAAATCAGGTCATGGAGCCGTGTACTGCAATGGCAGTCTTATTTAAGCTTCTGTCTTCTTTGTTTCAGCTGCTTTACACCTTGAATCTTCTTGCTCGCTTCCTCTGCTTTTATTTCTTTTTTGGCTACTGAGCTTTTCCTGCCTGTTTTGTTGCTGGTTGACCCTGTGTGCTCAGGCTGTTAAAGACATTCATTACAAACTCAGAGAGATCACTTTGAGAGCAATGTTTTATTTCTTCCTGCCAGGAAGGTAGGAGACAGTTCAAAACAACAGGACATCTTTCCGGTTTCAATGTCATTTGAAAATACATTTCCATTTCCTTCTATTTGAAGTTTTTGGAATGTGTAATTTGTGTCAAGGCCTTTTTAGAAAAATGGCAAGGAAATTAGCAGGTTGTTTATTTATTTTTTAACCCTAATCTCTGCCCCCTTCCTCAACTGCCTTGTCTCAGGTAGTTCTTCAGGTTCAGGAAAATGAATGTTTGCATACGCATAGCAACCCTTCCTTCCTCCCTCCCTCCCTCCCTCCCTCCCTCCCTCCTTTCCTTTCTTCCTTCCTGTTTTGTTTTTGAAGCAAAATCTCACTATGTAGACCAGGCTGGCTCCAAACCTGTAAGCCTCCTGCCTCGGCCTCCCGAGTACTGGTATTACAGATGGGTACCACTGCACTCAGCTCATGATCTTTCAATCACTCTTAAGTCTCCAATTTTTTCCTCTTTACTTTTTCATGAGTCTTTTGAATCTTAAAAAGTTTCTTCCTTATACTGAGGCAAACTACCTTGAACTATCACTAAACACTCAATTTAAAAAAAACGAAGAGCAAGAGGGAAAAAAAGATCTTTTCCATGGGTGGGTACCAGTGTTTGTGGGGGGAGGGCACAAGGAAAGGGAGAATGAGGGTTTATATGGTGGATGTGTTTTGTATTCATATATGAAAATAGAAGAATGAAACATTTTGAAATTGTTCTAAGAAGAGGGAGAATGATGGAGGGGGTAAATCTAACTAAGATATACAGTAAGCACATATGTAAATATCACATCGTATCCCCTGTACAACTATTATATGCCAATAAAATCATTTATCTACTAGAACAATGGCTTTTTCCTTTATAGTTGTGTTTCTGGAAAGAGTTGTCTATATTCAGTATCTTTTATGTTTCCTTTTCCCCCAATATTCTTTTTGTCAAGTATGCCTCCATTTGCTTTCATTGTCCAACCAATGAAATTTTTCTAACAAGATTACACTATTGTCTATTGTTGCACAACAAACTACATTGAAACTTAAGGGCATAAGGCAGCAATACTCATCTATCATCTCTGTTGATTCTGTGGGTGACTGGGCTCAGCTGTGTGTTTCTGTAGCTGGGCTGTAGTCTATAGGCTCAATCGGATTGGAATGTCCAAGATGGTTTATTCACATGGGTAAGAGTTGGCACTGGCAGGTTGGCTAAGAGATCAGTAGGGGCCAATGACTAGAATGCCATGGTTCTTCATGTGACTTGGAGTTTTCACAGTATAGTATTGGGTTCCAAAGGAGAATTCCAAGTGCAAAGGCAAACGCTGAAGATGTCTTAAGGACTAGCCAAGAAAGTTGCACCATCTTACTTTACCAAAAGAGCTGTGGAATGCTGAAGTCATTTCATAAACATTGTCCCTAAAGACATTCTAGTTAACACAACTACTCCTCAACAGCATTAGTACTAATAGCCACTCTCCATGGCTGATCGATGCCGCTGTCTCCGGGATCCTTTCTATCTCTGCACATTCATCCCAGGCTTCTCAATTTGCATTTTTTTCCCTCCTTGCTCCTGGCATACTGGTGTTCTCAAGGTTTTCACATCCTTATCTTTTCACCTCCATATTTTGTTAGAAAATTTTATCTGCACTCATGGTTTTAACTTGGACGTATTCATTCATTTGACAAGTACTTATTTATACTATATAACTAGTAGGCATGTGCTACCTCCTGGATGAAAGGGCTGCTGGCAAAGTTTTTCAGGTTGTGTTTTCCACATCCACAAAAGATAACATTCACATTGTAGCTTTTACATCAATAGTCATATTTATGTTTTACATGTATGTCTATGCCTGAATCATATTGGTGGTTTTTAGTAGGGGGTGTTTTTGTCCCACAAAGTATGCTTGGCAATGTCTGGAGACACTTTTTGTTCTCATATCTTGATGGTGGAGAGCTACTGGCGTCTGTAAGGAAGGGACCCAGAATGCTGCTGAACAATCAACAGAACACAGGACTGCCCCTCACAAGAATGATCTATCTTACAACATCGGTTATGCTGGATTGAGACCCTGCATCTATATTTGTATCTGATGAATTTCCTGTTCAACTACAGACCACATTTCCAATGGTTTGTCTGCCTTTTCCACCTGTGCATTGATGTAACTCTGAATCTGATACACCCAAAAGCGCAACTAGTGTTGTTATTCCCAGTCTCTGGGAATGTTACCATGATCTGCTAACTACCTCTAGGGTTTCATGGCTATAAATCCACTTTCCACACTACTGTCAGGATGAAGGATTTTTTTTGGTGGGACTGGGGTTTGAACTCAGGGCTTTGTGCTTGCAAAGCAGGCATTCTACTACTTCAGTCAAACTTCAGTCCATTTTTTGCTCTGGTTATGTTTTGGAGATGGGATCTTGCCAACTATTTGCCTGGGCTGACCTTGAACTTTGATCCTCCTGCCTTCAGCCTCCCAAGTAGCTGGGATTACAGGCATGAACTACCAGTGCTGGTCTACAGGATGAAGGATTTTGAGTGGTGCACAGAGAGTTGTGATTAATCTCCTGTCTCTCCTGATTTGAAACTCACCAGTGATTCTCCATGAGCTCCAGATAATGTTTAAAATATCTAAAGTGGCCCATGACATATTTTATAATCTGACTTCTATCTCATTTCCTGCTATGTTTTCCTAGTCCTTTATTCAGCTATTCTGGCTGCCTTGTGGTTTCCAGAATGTGCTATGCTTTCTTATGCTTCTCACTCTTGTGTGTGCAGAAATGCCTTTATTCTAGGGAGTGCGGCCAACTTTCCTTCAACTTTAGGCTTGAACACCTCTTCCTGAAAGCTTTCTTGTTTCCCTTTTCTGTTACTAGAATGGGAGATCCTCTTTTTTAGCTCCTTGTTTGAACACCATCAAGGTGTGAGAACAAAAAGTGTCTTCAGAGGTTGTCAAACATACCTTGTGGAATAAAATTCTCAACCCCCCATTAATAATTAGGTGCAAAACATAAATAGGACTGCTGATGTAAAGATCTATTAATCTAACTCTCCTACTGCTCCTTTCATGCCATCCTGTGGCATTTACATTTTCTGCTTATGCCCTGTCAGTCTTGCCCTGAGCTTTTTGGGGGTTTCTGGGTAGTGTTTACCTCTATGTGCTTGCATGTATTTGGGTCTTAATAACTATTTATTGATTAAAAGAAAGGATACAAAAGGGCCACCATTCCTCCTCCTACCAGGAGCTTGATGGGCATTAAAGATAATGTGCTTATTTAAAGAAATGATTGGAACCTGAAGGCGACTCCATGGTAAGAGAGTTGAACAAATTATGGTACATCCATATTGAATATTTTGAACCTATTACACAGGTTGAATAATCTGTATTAAACTAGAAAGAAGCCTGAAGCACCATTAAGGGAATGTAAGAAAAACAATTTCATTATGTGATGAAAATATGGATGTGTGTATATGTTTGCATTTGTCTATTTGAACAAAGAGTATGGAAAGATGAGCTCCAAGCTGCCAACAATAGTTACAGTGAACAAGCCTTATTATTATTATTATAATTAATAATTGAGAGTCAAAAAATAAGCATTGACACACAGAAATTAATCTCAAGACCAAATATGAGTCTGTAGACAAAGAATAAAGATAGGAGATAGTGCAGAAGAGTATTACTTTAATGGCTGAGAAAAATGTTTACAAAAATGGGGATCTCTTTTTTTGTGTATCTGTTAAATGCTGATAGGTGCATAGAAACAAGCCTGTGGAGATAGAACAAAATGTTAGCAGTAATAATTTCTGGATGCAGATGATCTTTATGTCTTTCTTTTGCCTATCTGTATTAGGCAATTTCAAAACAATGAGCACACCTTACTTTCATAAGAGAAATAATGCTGTTTCTAAAAATAGAAGATAGTGCATAAAACTGGTACCATTAAGCTATTATCCGAATCCTTAGACTTGAAAAAAACAATTATATGAAATTATTACAAAATGAATCCATGTGGGAACAGCAGTTACAATATAACATTTCCATTCCTTTCTTTTAGCAAAGACTGAAGGAAGAGAAGGAAGCCAAGCGTGCTCACCTGGATGGGAGGCATGGCTATCTATTTGCAATCGTAGCTTCCTGTTTGGACCTGAACAAAACCACAGTGGAAGATGCTATTCTTGAGGGGAATCAGGTGGGAGGCATTTGATTTCTCACTTGTCTTGATTGTGGAGGACACAGATGGTCTGTTGTCACTGTCCTGTGGTGGGATTCTATGGTGTGCCATGGAGAAGGTGCTTGCTTTAAGGAGGGCAGGACTCCATCTGGCTCAGTACTGATAGTGGCAGAATGGGCTTGGGTTCTAGCTCTCCATGTTGAATAGTGGTCCTTATAGTCATCATTTGAGTCTCACGATTATGATGGCAATGCCTGTGACTTTACAGCTAATGGAACAGCTCTCTTGCTAGTTTAGAAACTGAGTTTGGGAAGCAAAATCTCCTCTCAAAATTCTGATTTATTTATTCCTTAATAACAGTATTTGTATATTGGTCCTGTTCTAAGTTTGGGCACTGAATTGTGCCATGACTTTCTGATTTTAACTTTGGTTTGTGAGCTGAAGGTGGTTTCTTCTGTTCCTAGCTTTGCCTTCCATTTTCTGCTAGAATGTCTCTTCAAAATCTGGAGAGGGGATTTGCTTGGTGATTTAACCTTCATGGAGAAAGCCAAAATATGAGAAGATAGAGTTTCCTGGGCAGTGGGGAATGTATATCAACAGCCCTGTTATGATGAATCCTGAAGTTTTTTTTTTTTAAAGCTAATTAGGCATAGGTAAGAGAAAGTAAGAGAGAAAGAAAGAAATGCATCTGTGGTGACAGGTGCCACACTGTTGATAATGTTTGTTTATATCTAACAACTGCACATGGACAGAGCAGGAAAACCACTTGTTTGTGCATGCTCCAGTTTCTGTGGTGTAAATACTTGTTCCATGCTATTTAATGTTGAGTTGGAAAGTGTTGTGACCAATCAGATCTCATGAGCCAGTCCAAGCAAGCTCCAGCACATCACTGGCTTTGTTCCCTCTTAAAGAAATACTCGGATGTGAGAGAAAAATTAAGGCTGGGTAACTGATTTAAGGGGGAAGGAATTGTTCGTCTGTTCCTCTTTCTCCTTCTCACCATAACTACCATGCACGTATGTCCTTCACAGCATTCCTGGAATGGTCCATCCTGCTCATCCCTGCAGCACCCGCAGTCAAGGAAATTAACAGCAGTAACAAACAAGGCACCCAACTTTTCCTTGTTTATAACATTTTATCAATAGCATGATGGAAATTGAAGGGAGATTATTTTCACACTTAAATTTTCAGACTAAATTTTACCCATTAAAATGTTGTTTTAAATTATGGCAAAATATAAATAACATAAAATTTACCATCTAAATTAACAATGTAAGTGTAGAGTTCAGCAGTGTTACTGCATTCACATGTTTGTGCAGTCATTCTTAAGACCTCTCTAGCTTGCATATCAGAAACTCTTTGTCCAGTAAACAACAACTCCCCATTCTGCCTTTTCTCCAGCACCTGGCAACCACCATTCTCTCTGTCTCTATGAGTTTGACTACTCCAGCTACCTCATATAAGTGGAATCATACATTATTTATTCTTTGGTTAAGTTCATTGAGCATAATGTTTTCATGGTTTACCCATGTTGTAGCATGTGTCAGAATTTCCTTGCTTGTTAAGGCTGAATAATGTTCTCTTGTATGCATTTACCACATTTTGTTTATCTGTTCATCTGTTGCCTCCACCTTTTGTAGAAGCTGTAGTGAATAGTGCCACCATGAATGTGGGTGTACAAATGTCTTTGTGATTCTGCTTTCAATCCTTTGTGATATATAGCCAGAAGAGGACTTGCTGGATCTCATGGCAATTCTTTGTTTAATTTTTTTGAGGAAACCTCACAGTTTTCCACAGTGCTGCACTATCTTATATTCCTTACTAACAGTGATTGAGGGTTCCAGTCTCTCTACATCCTTGTCAACACTTGCTATTTTCTGTTTTTTTGATAGTAGCTGTCCTAGTCGATGTGCTTATTTTATCCTTTTCTTGTCATATGAATTCTAAGTTGTGCAATAGATTAGTTGCAAGAAGTGCTTCTGTTGGCAGCATACCCTTTGTTAGACTACTAAGCATACACTTAATCTCATGGATGGGACTGGTGGCCATATGTGTTCTTATGGAAGTTTCAGGTGATTGTTGCCTTTCTATGTTAATTATTCATTAACTGGATTTCTGAAGATTCTTTTCTCTTTCTGATTTACAGCTGGCTGAAAAGGAAATACTTATCTGTATTTAATTCTGTCTTCAATAGCTAAATACTTTAGGAAATTAGCAAAAATGGACAAGCCTTTGTTAAATGTGCATATATAGTAAATATTTCTATGATTACTTAAATTACTTCTTTGGATTGACTCTTCACTATGGTGATCCATTTGTTCTTTCATGGTTTTTATGTTGGAAAATATACCCCCTTCAATATGGGATTCATTGGATACAGAACTGTGTGAATAAGAAAGATAATAGTAATTGTACTTTTTATGACATTGACACTGAGTTAAATTCATTTTCTAATTCAGAACAAAGTCATTACCTTGTTTTTTCTTTTTCCCAGATTGAAAGAATTGATCAACTTTTTGTTGTTGGAGGTCTCCGTCACCTCATGTTTTACTATCAAGATGTGGAGGTAACAGAAACAGGTATTGAAATATAATGAGCTAGAACCCAGGAATGACGGTAGATTTATCTGAGAGTGGCAAGAAGAGGACAGCCACTGGAGGACGAGCTAGGTTTCTTGATGTGGAGACCATAATGGACGACAGATGTGGCCCTGCGGAAGAGTCTGTTTCTCCCTCCAGGATAGAGAGCAGACATAGGGTATTTAGCCTGGTTGCTCCAACTCTGTCATTTCATTTTTCTTATCCTTTGATATGCTGTTGACAGAGGACTAATGTTGATTTCATTTTGAGACTTTCTTTGTTATATGTTACTTAAGTTCATGTAATTATGTTCTAGAACTTCTATTTCTCTTTTTAACACAGGAATGATTACCAATAAACATAACACCATTTTTTTCAGTTAAATGATGTTTATTTTTTACTGATTCTATTTTAAATGTATAATATTGAAAGACAGATTTAGTCATTTTCACTTCAGAAAAACTATAAATTTTTGTTGGATTCAGTTGGTATATCCTATTATACTTTTAAGTAGATTAATATAATTATTTTTTCTTTTTGGCTGTACTGGGATTTGAACTCAGGGCCTCATGCTTGCTAGGCAGGCACTCTACCATTTGGGTCACAACCCCAGCCCTTTTTCTTTAGTTATATTTAGATAAGGTCTTCGGTTTTTTTGCATGGGCTAGCCTTAACTGCCATCCTCCTCCTTATGCCTCCAGCATGGGGATGACAGGCACACACCACTGCTCAACTTTTTTGTTGAGGTGGAGGTCTTGCTAACTTTTTCCTCAGCTGGACTCGAACCATGATCCTTCCAATCTCTACCTCCTGAGTAGCTGTGATTGCAGGCACGAGCCACAAGTTGACCAGCCTGTTAGTTACATATTTATTTATTTTTGCGACAGCATGTTGCTATGTAGCCCAGGCTGATTTGGAATTGTGATCCTCCTGCCTCAGCCTCCTCAGTGCTGGGATTATAGTAAACCAGCTGTTTACTATAATGTTTAAGTCCAACTAGGGGCATAAATAAGTATATCAAGCTTATATTACAATATTATGTAATCTTTTTATGACTCTTTGGAAAAAGAAGGGAAATACTTATTGATCTTGCCATTGGTATGAGTATGCTTTTTTTTGCCAACTAAAGAAATTATGCATGCAAATCCTAAGTAATTGGCATTTCTCTGGATATTAATTTAATATTTTGTGCTGAGAAACCTCATTATATTTGGAGTGAAAAGTGACAAGATAGAAGTTTTGAGTTCTACCTCAGATTATAAAACATGAACTAAAAGGAAACATGTTCACCCATGAACCATGCACAGAGTGAGGCTGTCCTTCCTGTGTTTGTTTCACATGGAACAAGAAGGGTTCATGAGATGCACATGGAAAAGCAAGTTTACTTTTGCCTTTCACTCTCCTTTTGATCCTTGTCAGTGTGGATAGTCCTTCTGACCTTGGATTAATGTTTAGGCAATTGCATGACTTTTCTAGATATTCTTAGATGGGAAACTTCCTATGGTCATTCCAAATTGCAAACACAATCTCAACTCAAAAATAAAAAGTGTCCAGTTGATCAGAAGTTAAATTGTCTCCTTTCCTTGCCTTGCCCTGCCCCCTGGAATCCCCATCTGATATTCCTGAAGATTGGTACTTGTAGTGGGGGAGAAGCATGCGGTCCTCTTCTTCAACTTAATCTTCCTCCCTGACCCACAGCTCGTTAACCACAGTGTCTGACTGTGTCAGGCCCCAGACAGGGCATAGATGAGAAGTGAAGGTGACAGGGATGTTTTTACAGCACTGGCACTATCCTAAGCTGGCTGACCTTGCACACTCTGGGCCCATTCTTTTGTGGTTCCACAGTGGGTTCTCCACTGGAAGTATTGGCTGTATGTCCCAAGGTGATGTCTTGTCCTCACAATGACCATGGTCCCCTGCCTTTGTATTTCACAGCATACACCACCCTGACTCCCTCTATCCCATCACCCTGCCAGCACTCTTGAGCATGATTGAAAATGGCACCTGGATGATTCTTTTTAGTGTGCCCCCACCTAATTCCATAGAAACACTCTTGCCTCTTGTCCTTGCCTCTTCGGGTGTGTGGTGAGCAACCAGTTCAGCCTTCTTTCTCTCTCTGTGCCATGTTGCAGGCTGTGTGTAAATTTCTTGGGCAGAACTCAGATCCTATTCCATTCACCCCCAAACTCCAGGAGACATAAATCAGCTGGGTAGGTCTTTGGTTGAAGACCTTATTCCTTTTTTTTTTTGTAAAGTAGCAGTATATTAATTGTACAAAATAATGGGTTTCATTATAACATTTTCATAACATATGAAAATGTATATAATATACTTTGGTCATATCTCTCCCCTCATTACGTTCTCTTGTCCCCCACCCCACTGGTTCCCTTTATCTTCCCAAATAGTCCCCCTTCTGCTTTCATTTCTTTAAAAAAAAACTAGATTTTACATTTGAGAGAAAACATGATATTTGTCTTTTTGAGTCTGACTTATTTCAGTTAACATGATCTCCAATTCCATTTCTTGCAAATGCTTGATTTCATTCTTCTTTATGACTGAATAATACTCCATTATGTATATGTGCCACATTTTCTTTACCCATTCATCCATTGGTTGAGAACTCCCAATAAAGGAAACCAGAAACTCTTTCATTCAAAAGTATGTCTCACTTCAAATGACCTGGGTGTCACAGGGATAAGATGTTAGATAAGAAGTTTCAACCAATGCACCAAAGTATGATAGGTACCAGGAAACAAAGATAGTTTCCAGGCCAAAAAATATCCCAGACATCTCCAAGTAGGCTCCTAGAACTGATTACACACACACACACACACACACACACACACACACACACACATGAATCCAAATGGGTCAAGAGAGTAAATTGAGGAGGAAGAATTCTGTAGGAACAGAATTCTGTAGACACTGTTTCTTGACTATGATGACAACTATCCTACCTTGTCTGAGACTTTCCTGGTGTTAGCACTGGATGTTCAGTATCCTAGGAAAACCCTCAGTTCTGAGGAAACTGGAACAATTGATACCTCATTCTTGACTTGTAGTAAAGGGTAGAAGTACCTCAGTAATCTTGGTTGAATTACCAATTCACTTGGAGACCTAAAACTTTCTTGAGCAGATAAGAACACAGTGGAATAGCTCAGAGTATGTTCTGTGTACTTAAATGACCCATTCCATGAGCAATGTGTTTGGACAACCAAAAATAAAATTTAAAATCCTAATGACAGTGCTTACTGAGGTAGTGTTTTTATGTGCTTTTCTATGGGATTTACATGTGTCAACCACTTTAATTCTCACAAGAAGTCCAGGTGCTAGATTTTAGTATTATTTTTTGGATGAAAAAACAGAGGCACAGAAATTAAGTAATTTAGGGCTGGGTGTTATGGTTCGTGCCTGCAATCCCAATTAGGAGGGAGGCAGAGGTAGGAGGATAGCAGTTTGAGGTTGGGTCTGGGCAAAAAGTGTGCCCAAGGTCAGGTGATCAAGAAATATAACCAGAGATTAAAACCCCGGGAGTCTGACTCTATAGCTCACACAGTTATCATGGTGCATTGCCTCTGCCCTATCCTGACTAGCGATCTACTGAAGCTCAGTCATACTGTCTGTGATGGTGTTAGAGCAGCACCCGGATGTGAGAATCCTGGCTTTTGTGCTTAGAGCTGGTTTTGACGTTGGCTCTGTGACCTGTTGGCTGTGCAACCTGGGGCAGCTCCCTGCTTTGGAGTTGTGAATTTTAATGATGTAGACAGGGCCACCAGCAGAGATCCTAATGCAGTACACACCAGTCGGGGCTTTCTGCCCCTAACTCTTTGTCACTGACCCTGGAGCAACAATTTTGAAATGAATCTGTGATGTGGAATCAAGCAGATCCTTTCAGATTCCTTTAGGGATGAGGTTAGAGATTGTCCAAGTGATGGATCTGTCTAGAACACCTGGGCATGCTAACTATAGTAATATTTTAACAAGGAAACTATTCTAAGAGGTGACCATAAGGACTGTAAACAGCATTTGTGGAACTGAAATTCTTTTGCATTTATAGGACAACTTGGCTGTCCAGGAGGGGTAAATCTTGTTTCTGGAAAGATGAAGAAGCCCAGGGTGTTTGTGACTGAGGGAAAAGACGTTGCTCTTACAGGAGTGTGTGTATTCTTCATCAGGTCTGACCCATCCACAGCCATCACAGCTGAGAACATCCACCGGGTAAGGGACAATCATTGACCTCAAGTTACCAAAAAATCATGTAAAAATTTCACAAAAGTATCTCTCCTTGTGGAGACAACCACCTGTGTTCTCTGCAGTATCTGAACATACTTTCAAAAAAGTATTTTTTAAAGAATTTAAAACAAGCAATTAAGAAGATATTTCCTTTTGATAGAGGAAGTAAAATTCAATTTATTAATAAAATTGCTATAATATTATGTCTGGGTACAATGAGGTCTTCCCTTTAAAAAGAATTTCCCATAATAATTGACTTAATTGCAAGTTTCATACATTTAAAATAAGGCTGCTAAACGTGGACACATAACTTTATTTTTTGCACAAAGTGCATCTGTACAGGGTCTCTTTTCCTTTAATGTGAGTATTATCTTCTTGGAGCAAATGAACTGGTAAACATTTGGTGTTCTATTTATTTTATCCTTGTATTTTGATTGCTATTTAAAATAGTCTAAACATTTCTCAACTGGAGCATCAAAATCACAATTTGCTGGATAAATTCACTGGCTATTTGGTTAATCGACAACATTTAGAAATGACTCCATAGCTATGCTGCAATTGAGGATAATTTTTACAACAAAGAATCTCTGAATTTTTTCTCAGGAGGTGAGCTTCAACATGTTAGATACGGCAGATGGGGGCCTGTTAAACAGTGTGAGACGTTTGCTCTCAGACATCTTCATTCCTGCCCTGCGAGCCTCGAGCCACAACTGGGGTGAGCTCGAGGGTCTTCAGGATGCATCTGGCATTCAGCAGGAGTTCTTGAGCTCTCTGGAAGGTTTTGTGGGAATCCTGTCAGGTGCACAGGAGAGTTTGAAGGAGAAGGTAAGAAAGAATAAGTTATTCATTTAAAAATGATCAGATGCTCAACAGTACAATGAGTGAGTGATAAGTGTCTTACATGGTCTTGGCAACTTTATTGTTCCACAGGATGTGATGCTTTGCAGTGATTAATTCATTCTGAGGTTCCATAAAAATGTCAGTGATGTAAGGTTTTTTGCAATCATGTCAGATGTTTGAGAGTGAAGACAAGAGTATGCTGTGACATTGATGTGCATCCTAGAGTAAAAGAAATACAGAACCAGAGTAGGGTGCGTGCGTGTGTGTGTGTGTGCGTGTGTGTGTGCATCTGGTGGTGTGGGTGGCAAGTAGGGTTGGGAGGAAATCCTGAAGTGGTGGGAGGAGGAAAGAGGAACTGATATGTCTGGAGAGAGAGGGGTTGTGTTCTATAACTCAGCTAGTGACTAAAGGGGCCTTAAGAATAAGTGTGGCAAAGGTCACATTCAGCTTCTGAATGGCTTGTGCTAACAACAGTAAATTTATGTTTGTGATGACTTGGGCAGAGGATAGTGAACATGCACTTGTGTGTGACTGGGGTGGTAGCAGAGAAAGAGGAGAGGAGATGAGATGAGTGCACAACCGGAAGATGACAGAGTTCAGGTCAGGCATGGATAGGAAAGGAGACAAATGGCTCCTATGGCATGGCGATGTAACTCTCTCCTATCTCCAGAGAATGCTGGTCCTGTTGGAATACTAAAGGGGAACATTATGTTTACCAAAGGATGTAGAATTGGGGAGTTGAGCACATTTCATCCAGACAGGGGCAGGATGATGCCAGCTAACATTTGAGTTGTGTGTGCAGCCAACTGTGCTGCAGGCCAGACCAACATGACAACTGGATGAAATGAAATTGATGACATTCCACCCAAACAAAGCAGTGCTTTCATATATTCATATGGTCACACTTAATGTTGTAATAGAGGTATAAAAAAGTGGTATGAATTCCCCCATGGGGGGAGCCATTCTCTCTAAGTGGGAGAGGTTGCTGGGCTTTGAGTCAGTTCCTGAAGCTGTGGGGTCATGGAGAAGTGCTGAAAAGCCTTTCCAGTTTTGGCAGGGCCAGGAAGGGAATATGGGAGTGTCTTGGGGGGACGTGCTGCCTAGATGGGTGTGTGAGTGCAGAGTCAGAAAGTAGCAGAGAGAACATGTCAATGAGTCCCACTGGTGTGGACAGGACAGATGCTGGGCCTGGCTTTGAAATGAAGGCCTGTGCAAAGACTGTCTGGACAGGAGTGGCTTGGGAGACAGGACCTGGGACCATTGGAGGTCAGGCTGGCAGGGCTTATTATGAAGCCAAAGAAGGAAATGAGAAGCATTAAGGAGGACATCCAAGTTGGTGTGGTTCTTTGTGCAGGCCCTTTAGGAACCCTCTGGGTACCTTCCCCTTCCATTCCTCAAGGGCTCTCTGGTTTTCCAGACGTAGGGCCTGAACTGTAAGAAAGGACACCATGTTGGAGTTTGACAGTGATAAATAGCTACAGTCTTTCTTTTGGTTCTGAACCTGTTGAGAGATTCATCAAAGCCAGGTTGGGCCTGATAGCTAAATTTCACACGAGTTATCAGAAACACTTTCCAGAAGGAAATTGTTCTAATCAAATAGAGAGGTCCATTTTGTGATTTGGTGTATTGTGTATATTCAAAATTGCATTAGGAGGGGGTGGGGGCAGGGGCAGAGGGGTCATGGGGGGAGAAATGGCCCAAGTAATGTATGCACATATGAATAAATTTAAAAAAATGCATTAGGCTTCTTTGCAAAGTCAAAATCCATCTCCCTATCCCATGAACTAAATCCAAGTGTTTGCCATTGAGCTTGCTAGCTGTAAGGATGAGGGAGTTTTTTTCTTTAATTAGATCCAAAAAGGAATAAGCTATAGATTGGGAACTACTTATTTCTGTTTCTCATGTTAATTTCCTTTCAAGCTGCCTGTCTCATTCTCTTTGGTTTTATAACTTGGTAGGTAATTTCCAAGTCCCTTACTAATTCCCCAATTTTGTGATATATTCTCTTGCTCTAATTTCAGACCCCAAGTTTGACCTCTGAATCAATTATCTTTTGTGGTTGTACTCAATGCATAGGGAAGAGGATTATATATTGGGCTCTGGGTGCTTTCAATTATCTTTGTGGAAGGAGCAGGGTAAAATAGACTAGAGGATTCCTTTGATATCTGTCTAGATTTAGGGTTGATAAAAAGCGTATGTCATTTTAAAAAGCATATTATTATTATTCAATCTTCATTTTAATTAGGTGTACCTTCAAAAATGTGACATATTTGAACTGAAAACCTTGAAGGAACCTCTGGACTACTTGACTCTAGCTAGTAACCCTGAGACTTTGGAAAAAGTAGAAGGCTGTATGAAAGTGTGGATCAAACAGACAGAACAGGTAATTTCCAGAAACCTATGGTCAGTTTCAGCTGCTGTAATTGAACTAGCCAGTGCAGGAGGGTGTACAGTGATATTGCCTTGCCTAAGAATCTGACCACAGGGCCTTAAAAAGATGAGAGATTCAACATGCTTTCACTTATAGTCATTAGTTAAGAACAGTGAGAATTCAAAGAGGTGAAAATAAGTGACTTTGTGTACTTATATCACTTAAAAGGCTGTGTTTTGCTCATTTTTTCTTCTGAGAAACCCTCTGTAGAAATATGAAGCATTTTCTAATTCATCAGGTCCTCCAAATAAGAGCTTGAGACTTAGCATTTAAAAATGTATTGTTGGGAAAGTCTTAAATGAAGGTGGACATTATATAAAAGAAGTAAGCACAATGAAAATTAACCTGCTTAATGCATGGGGCTTTCCAAAGCTTCAAAGTTACATAGCAAAAGAATAGGCAAGGAAACGTCAAATTCAGAGTCTCCAAAGGCTCAGTCAAACCTTTAAGTAAGTTGTTTCCAGTTAGTACAGTCAATTCAGTCTTTGTTGAGTCTTGAAAATGGATATGTGTAGAGTTAGAAAGATCCAGTCATCTGAAGCTGTAACTGGATTACAGGGTATTGTGATTCAGATAGTGTGAGCTCTTCATTTCCACCTTTCTTTGGACATGTATAACTTTCCTACCCCAGCCTCATGCACTGTTCCTGTTTTTCTGCTGCATTTGCAGATCCTTGCTGAGAACAATCAGCTACGGAAGCAAGCAGATGACGCTGGGCCCCGAGCAGAGCTGGAGCACTGGAAAAAAAGGCTGTCCAAGTTCAACTACCTCTTGGATCAACTGAAAAGCCCTGAAGTGAAGGCCGTGCTGGCGGTCCTTGCGGCTGCCAAGTCCAAGCTTCTGAAGGTTGTCAGTCATTTCTTTGTGCCCTATGACATGAGAGCGAGAATTCTCCATTCATAATTTCATAGAGTAATTAGGAACAGGAAAGTGTTATATCTGTATGTAAACCTCTCAGGATTGGGTAGTATTGCTTTTGTATAATTTTGGGTACTGCCGAACTAATCTTCTAATTAAAGATATTTTTCTGGCTGGTGTACATGCCTGTGCATGCATTATTGGAGAGCAATGCATGTAATTAATATATACCATGTTAATAAGATTATATGTGCACATGTGTGTATATACACACACACATATAATGAATTCAGACCAGCTAGATGTAGTAACGATGAAAACTAACCTAACCTATTCTTATTTTTTAGTCCTGGTATATTAATTTTGTATTACAAAACAAATCTTCCCAAAATTTAGCAGCTAAAAATAGCAACCCACAGTCTGTGAGTCAAGAATCTGGATGGTTCTGACTTCAGGTCTCTCCGGGACTGTGGCCAGGTGTTGGCTCACCTGAAGTCTCACATGGCGGAGGAACTACTTCCAAGTTGGTGTATGTTGTATTTGCAGAATTCAGCACCTTGCTGGCTGCTTCCTTCCATTTCTTACCACACAAACCCCTTCATAGGGAAAAGCTTATGACATGGAACATGGCTTCCCTTAAGGAGATGGAGTGAGAAAGTGCAAGAGAGCACCCAACATAGAAGCCATGGTCATTGCGAGCCAATTCTAGGGGTGACATACCATCACTTTTGTCACATTTCATTTATTAGAAGCAAGTCACTAGATTTAGTCCATGTTCAAGGGGGAAGGGATGACTCAGAGTATGAATCCAAGATGTTGGTGATTACTGGGGAGAAGGGCATCAGCTGCCTCACTCACCTAGCACTGGTGCTGTGAAGACTATTGCTATTTGCATGGATGCTTCTTTCAATCCATGCAAATTATTTAAGTAATAATTGTTTCTTTAAATGTGCTTCAGATTTACCTCATATCACTGTTTAAAGAAATATGTGAGGCCATGCAATACAGCTCATAAATATTTTCATTAGAATTTTTGTGAAGCCAACTCAATGAGTTGACTTGTACTAAATTATTTCCTCTTATTTTTTCTACTTCTAGATTCCTTTCCACTTTGAAATTCCTAGCTCAGAGCACAGTCCTGACATATGGTTGGCATGTAATAAATAATTGCTACATTAACCAATGGACAAAACTATAGGGATATGGGGAAAAGGGAGCTCAGAATAGAATGGAGAGTAAATAGAAAATATGAGAGTGAAGAACAAAGTGGGCCCAGTGGTTAGGGAGGGAGAATGTGTCAGTTTACAGGAGGTGCTGCCCTCTTGGTATGCTGTGCTAACTACAGAATGGGGTTTACAAGAGATGGTTTAACATTTAGTTTTAACATTTAGTCAAAAAATTTGAATTACTTTTCAACATAGAAATGTCCCTCACTTTTGGGATTCAGTTTTATGCAGGATGCACAGAACAAATGGAAAAAATCTGACTCAAGGTACTTGTGGTTACTCTTAGTAGCTCTTATATTGGAAGCTCTTTGGTGAGTTACTGCATTAAAATTGCTTTCTTGTATTGTGCTCAGACTTGGCGGGAGACAGATATTCGAATCACTGATGCAGCTAATGAAGCGAAGGACAATGTCAAATATTTGTACACACTTGAGAAATGTTGTGACCCTTTGTACAACAGTGACCCTGTGAGTTATGGCTTTCTATTTCTTTAGTCTAGTGATGGTCCTTTCCATACTAGCTAAACTGAATGCTGAATTTTGGTTCATAGATACTATAGTTTTTTGGGAAAGGTCTTAGATATTTCTTTGTTATTCTAAAGAAAATACAAACACACATGAATACACATAACTCCATATGTATTCTTAGCCCCTTCTCTAATCTATCTGTGGATTTATCATTTATCTATTATTAAAAATTTTAAGAGATGTTATATTTTGAAAATATTCCATCTTTTATTAAATGTTGCAGTTGACATTCTGGACTGAACCCCCAAAGAACTGTGGAGAAAGTCATAGACTGGTGTTTTTTTTTTTTTTTTTAATCTTTTAGTATTAGAAAGTGCCCATTTTTATTTATTACAAAGTCAACTGTTAACACAACCTCTTCATCCTTAACAATATGTTAACATTTCTTATATTGAAATAAAATTTGATTAAGCCTATGTGAATAAAATAATAAAATTAACTCATTATAAAATATATTCATGTAAAGCAATAGATAGTATTTAAACTTTATTCTAATAGAGATGGAATGATTAAACTATTATAATTAGAATTTTGCTGAATTTGATATTTTTTCCTTTAAAACTTTCTGGTATCTTCCAGATATCTATGACTGATGCTATCCCTACACTTATAAATGCAATTAAAATGATCTACAGTATTTCTCATTACTATAACACCTCCGAGAAGATTACATCTCTGTTTGTAAAGGTAAGCATATGGAGCCATGTCTTTCACCTTGTACAAATGTCAATTCAAATGAATCAAAGACTTTAATGTAAGGCATAAAACCTTGAAACTAGTGCAGGAAAGAGTAGGGAATACACTGGAACATATAGAAATAAGGAATAACTTCCTAGATAGAACTCCAGTGGCTCAGCAACTAAGAGAAAGGATTGACAAATGGAACTACAAGAAGCTAACAAGCTCCTACACAGCAAAGGGAATGCTCACTAGACTGAAAAGACAGCCCACAGAATGAAAGAAAATCTTTGCCAGCTACATATCTGACAAGGCATTAATAATCAGAACTTATAGGGAGCTCAAAAAACTAAACTCCCAAAGAATCAGTGACCCAATGAAATGGGCAAATGAACTGAACAAAAATTTTTTTCAAAGGAAGAAGTCCAAATGACCAAAAATCACATGAAGAAATGCTCAATATCCCGGGTCATAGGGGAAATGCCAATCAAAGTCACCTTAAGATTTCACCTCATGCCTGTTAGAATGGCTACCTTCAAGAACACAAACAACAAAATGTTGGGGAGGATGCAGGGAAAAAGGAACCCTCATATTCCGTTGATGGGAATATAAGCTAGTACAACCACTATGGAAAACAGTATGGAGGCTCCTCAAAAAACTAAAAATAGAACTGCCATATGATCAGGCAATACCCTCCTAGGCATATTATCTGAAGGAATGTAAGTCAAGATACAAAAAAGACACTTGCACACTCATGTTTATTGAAGCATTATTCACAATAGCCAAGCTATGGAAACTGCCCAGATGCCATACAACAGATGAACGGATTAAGAAAATGTGGTACACATATATAAAAGAATATTATTCAGCTATAAAGAAGAATGAAATTTTGTCATTTTCAGGTAAATGGATGTAAGCCAGGTTAAGAAAGACAAAGGTCACATGTTTTCTCTCATATGTGGAAGATAGGTCCAAATACAAATACAAGCTATATATATATATATGTTTCCAATAATGGTATATTTAAATGAGACCAAGGGAGGCGGGAAAGAAGAAGAGAATGATAGAGAGTGAATAACGCTGAAATACATTGCATCTTTGTAGGAAAAAGGCACAATGAAATGCACTGAACACTGTTGAACAATACAGGGTAGGAGGAAAAAGATAAGGAAGAGTAGAATGATTAAAGTACAGTATGTTTACATATTTTTTGTACCAAGGCAAAACCCCTTGTAACAGTGAACAGATGCTAAAATAGTGAAGGACAGGAATACAATACAGGTCATGTTAAAGGGAGGGTTATAGCAAGATGGGGAGGATAGATGAAGAGGGTAAAGGAGGGTGAATATGGTTGAGGTACCTCTCTACATGTGTGACTATGGAACACTGAAACCTGTTGAAGACATTTGATGGAGGGGAGTGGGGGAAGAAGGAGAGTAATGGAGGGGATGATCCAGTATGTGTATATATGGAAATGTCACAGCTAAACACTCTGCATAACTGTCATACACTAATAAAATGTTTTACAAAAAGAAAAGAGAGGGTGAGCATATGGTGTAGCATACAGCCTGATATTTCTGTGCCAATGTTCAGTTTTTTCAAAATTAAGAATTGTCATCTTGGCCCGATCCAATGTTCATGTATCTTACTATTTTAAAAAGGCTTAGTCTAGCTGGTTGCTAGTGGTTCATGCCTGTAATCCTAGCTACTTGGGAGGCTGATATCAGGAGGATAGTGGTTCGAAGCCAGCCTAGGCAACCAGTTCTTGGGATCCTTTCTCAAAAATACCCAACACAAAATTGTAGGTGGAGTGACTCAAGCTGTAGAGTGACTGCCTAGCAAGTGTGTTTAAACCCCAATACCACAAAAAAGGGCTTAATCCATCAGTAGAGAGAATGCCAGTAAATAAAGGATTATTTCTCAAAGTAATTATAATAAATAGTAAACATTCTGTTTATATAATAAAAACAAAATAACTTTTTAGAATTTCTTTCCCTGTGTATTTTAGCATATCATTGTTTCTATTGGGCAAATTTTAATTAAGAAAACTATATTTAACTGGCTATCTTCTGTTTCATATTTTATGAGCCTCTGTTCCATGGTTATTTGATGCCCCAGTTGTTTCTGTGGTGTTGTTAGAAGAGTAATCATGGCAATGAAAACCACTTGCAATATTTCAGTAATCTATAAAGTAGTTATAATGATTCTTCCACAAAACATAATGATGCTTAAACCTTATGTCCTAACTCATAAGTGTTTATGGTAAGCCCTTTTTGCCATTCCACTTTCGAATAGTCTCTAAGAAGTAAATGATGATTCATTATCAAGGCAAACATTTTCAATGTTATTTTAAAAATGAAGAACTTTTGACTTATCAGTGCTTTGTGTTGTATATACTGATGCACATGAAGCAAAGAGTTTCCAGGGAACAGAGAAAGCCAGCCTTCAAGCTCGGTGGGAAACTTTCCTTCTTCTCTTGTGTAGAGAGTTCAGGTAGAAAGGAGGGATGTCTACAAGATCCTTTTTCCACTTCGTCATACTTTAAAGCCCTATGTTAGGGTGAGAGGGGAAATTTCTCTGAGCAAAAGACATTATTAGTTTTGATTTCATGCATATTACTGATTTTTATGCATGACTTGATTTTTAGAATAAAATTGTGAGACTACCATTATCCAAAATCTTTTTTTAAATTAAAGTTTTGAAGTAGTACAAGAGGAGAGAGAATTGTAGACTGAACCTCCACAGAAGTATCACCCAAACCAGCAATTATGGACCACACTGCTCTTGTTTTGCCTATGCCTTCTCTCCTTGCCCTGCACCTGGCAGACATTATATTCCCCGCCCCCACGGTACAGTCATTTAATTCTGCTTTTCCTTCAGTTAAAAACAATCTAGAAGCTTCTGAGGGATTTTATTCAAGTTTGAGTAAAATGTTAGTGCTTCTACTGCCGAATGGATCAAGAGAATGTGGTATTTATATACAATGGAATTTTACTCAGCCACAAAGAAGAATGAGATTTTGTCATTCACAGGTAAATGGAGAACATCATCTTAAGCAAATTTAGCAAAGTTAGCCAGGCTCAGAAAGTCAAAAATCACATGTTCTTCTTCAATTGTGGATTATAGACCCAAAACAAATGCAGTAATATTATTGGACATGAGTCACACGCTAAGGAGAGAATGAACATGGGAGGAATAGGGAAAGGGAAGGAAACCTAAAACTTGAATGTGGTTGATGTGCTTACTATAGAGGAGTGAATAAAGTAACCTTAAACTGTCAGAGGCCACTATGGGAAGGGGACCAGGAAGTAGTGAAGAGGTCAGGTAGAGATGAACCAATGTGGGTTGTAATACACATGTGTGTGGAAGCAATGCTAGGAATCTCTCTGTATAGCTGTCTTTATCTCAAACTAGCAGAAATGCTAAGTCTTTCTTATTATCTCTTATGTTTTTCTTCAAAAAAATTGGAGAACAAGAAGGCAGAACACATTCTG